AAGGTGAGCAAATATATTAAGAACAGTATGCCATATATGCCAGGTCCCTTGAAACAGCAAGGATGGACCGGCTCCCGGCATTGTATATGTCAAATGCAGAGGTTCTAATGCAATGTATAATACTCAAGGTGTACTCAATGAATGCAGGGTGAATTTATAGCTGAGAGTGTGATTGAAGTTAACAGACATTTCCATTTCAGTAGTATTACTTACAATAAAGGAGGGAACAGATTTTTACCTGGACATCCAAAATGTTGAACAACTTATTAGTTTGGGGGATAAAAGAATTTGGGACCATTATTTCCACACTAACATTTGGAGCCATGCTAGGGCCTGTGTTGATAACCTGGTAAGAAGGAAAAAAAATGAAACTGTTAAATGTTTTCATAAATGTAAGTACAGATATAAATGAGCTCTTAGGCGAGCCCATCTGTTTCATGAAACATTTCTAGTGGTGGAGATTTGTAGTTGGCAGCTACACCACAAAGGGAGACAGAATGTTGACAGCGAGAACTTAAAAAAATTTGCTAAGAAGTACAACCTTTAGTCTTTACTCCCAGCTCTCTCCTTTTGCTATTAATTAGGACAGAATGTCCAGGCAGATGTTTTATTGTAGTCTAAAAAAAGAGACATCAACAGTGTACATTTGTATGGCACATTCTGTATCTAAAATGCCATGACCAATTGGTCCTCATCACTATCCCATCAGATGGGGCAACATTTAATTATTTGCCAGCTCAAAAAAAAAATGCTAAGAGGTGTTAGTCAATGATGCGCCCAAGATAAAAATGAAAAGAATTGGGACAAAACCCAGGTATTCTAATTTAAATCCTATGATGTTTTCACAAACCACTCTGTGCAGAGGGGATGTCAGCAGTAAGTGCATAAAATGTAAATTTAATTCAGGATTATTATAGTGCTGATACACTCAGAAAACCACAAAGGGGTAGGTTATTCGGTTTTAGAAAAAATTCAATAGGTGTTTAAAGAATAATGCATAAGGGAGTGATATTTCATTATTGCTGAGAAATCTGGGGATTGCAGATCCCTATAAAAGGAAATTGGGCCAAAATATTGCCTCCTGAGAGCTTCACTATAACACCAATACAAAGTCAGAAATGAGATGTACCACAATACCTGGATGAAACAGCATGACTCACAGACTTGCAATACTGTTTCGAATGCGTATGATATAAATACTCACCAAACCTACAGGACTTCAAAATAGAGGGCTAAATTTTTTCACTACTGCTGTGTGCTAGTATAACAAAAACAACTGTATGTAGACTCAATAGGATTTCAAGGTCATTCTTCTTCCACAGATCTGGGGCAGGGCCCAGGAATTTGCATTTTGGACAAGCACTCCAGGTGATTCTGATGCACATTTTGAAAAGCATTGCCTTACCAACTATCATGATGTACCGAAATCCAGATTCACACCCCATAGATTGTTACATAGCTCTAAGGATATTTGGGCAGTACTTTTGGTTCAAAAAATACTTTTGTGGACATTATCTCCAATTATTTACTAATCATCAACATCCATGATGCACCAAAAATATCAGTTGATAGTAAATAAACATTTTAAGTTGTCTTTATATTAGTATACTAATATTTCTGGAAAATGACACTATACTTTTTAAAAAGATTATTGAATAAATGAGGCATCGCTTGCTACAGGTAACCTATCAATGGCTTGAAAGGCTGACCCAGCAGACCTTAAATGGAGTTGACTTGACTTGGTCATTTTAGGGCTTTTAAATGCTTCAACTAAGATGAGAGTTCACTGATTTGCACCCTAAACATGCCTTCCCTTGGCCTATCCTGTTTTGTTTTGTTTTTCTTCTAGGCACCTCTAGCAGATTCTCTTCCTCCCATAACTTTGCTAGTTTCAAGTGTTACCTCTGTTCCTACTAGCTCATTCCCACCTGTACCGTAAGGAGATGTGGGCTTGAGTAAGAGGGACAAGAACAGTGGGAGGAAAGGGCATGGGTACCCACGTGCCAGCTCCTTCCTTATCCTAACCAAAGTGTGCTGGCCCAAGGCTGAGGGACATCACAGGGATACGACGTCCTCTCGAGCAATGCACCAGTCACAGTCTTTCAGTTTGTTACAAACATCAACACAACCAACTTTTCTTACGTGGAAAGTGAGGTTCATTTTCTCTGTGATGCACGTTTCGGGCTCATGGTCCTCCTTTGATCCATACACAAATGAAGTTGGATTTATAAACCTAATAGAAACAAATTCAAATTTAGTGTGTTTTTCAGTGTTACAGTCTCATTCATTGATTTATGAAGTATATATGGGATGTGTGCCAGGTGCCAGGGTGTGCTAGGTGCAAGGAGGCCAATATTCATAAGGCACATGGCCCTACTCAAGATTTGTACGGTCTACTCGAACTTGGTTAGTGGTCTTTCTTTTGATGAGATGTTATAAACAGTCTTCCTCTACAGTTTGGATTACAGCGTATCCCTTAAATATGCTATAATTTAGACAATAGGCACTTTCTTTAGCACAAATACTTTCGGTTTCTTGGTATGATAGTCATTTTAGTAAAGATGTTAATGAAATTAGAAAGCCATGTGCTCTGACTTGGGTGACAGTATCTCTTTCCAACACTATGGCTCATTCTACTGACTTACATAAATCTGGCAAATATGATATAAATTCTTAGCCTTTCCCTATGACTTCAATATGTAACCTATACTTCAATCTTCCTTACCTATTTTTTGAGTTATTTCTTCCCATCTCCTAATTCCTACTGGCTATTTGTAGTGAACCCAGATCTGGGGAACAATTTGAGCAGCAATAAATATGGTAAAATTTTTGTTAGAACACAAAGTTGTTACTCTCTTACCTGTGATTATACATATGTATGGTCAGTAGTGAACTTTAAGAAATACTTTTCTAGGGAAATCCTGACTTCACAAGGTGCTTATATTTGGCAGCTGATATGATGCAATGCAAATTAGGGACCCATTACACAGGAAAGAAATTAGAAATATTCAAATGTAGAGTAGGCAGCGTAATAGTTGCAGAATAGTTCTTGCTCAAAATAATAAGATGTGGATAATGAAAAAAAAGGGAGGATGCTCATTACAGGAAAATGAAGGAGAGCAGGCAAGACACCATTCAAAACCAAGAAATGCGCAACTGCTTCTCTTTGCTTCCCACTGACTTTCTAGGTCCTCATCTCCCTCAAACGGCTGCCTTTATCCCCCTGCTTTTTATATTTCACAAACCTGTTACCCTATTTCATCAGTTTCCGACACTGATATGTTTATTTTTACATAATTCTATGCCATCCTATGGGTGGCTAAAAGTTATTGGGGATGGTTTATATTTAGAGCAACAAGAAAAACTCACTTGTCCATTTTGTATTTATCTTCAATTGCTTAAAATGTATTTTTAAACAAAGATTAATAGCTTAAATAATTTCCAATAAAATCATTAAAGGTTTTCTTAAGACTCCTTTCATTCTTTCTTCATACATGTCTTCCTTGCATCAGAGTCAGAACCATAAACAATTACTAAAATTATGAGGAATCAGTGACTATTGACTCTGGGGCTGTGGGTGAGGAACTCTGATTCAGTTATTAAGAGCGGAAAAGAGCTGCAGACAGCTCTCTCCTACACAGGTTCTAGAGAGTAGTCGTTTGGTCAAGCCCAAGATTCTTGAAACTTCACACTTGCCACAGCCACTGAGTATGATCAAGCAAACTGTGCACTGCACAACTCCCAGTGGCCGGGCCTGCCCTGGGGACCTTCAGACACGCCCCGTGCAAGGTTGGCCAGGCCCTTCCAGCAAGAAATCCCCTCTAGCTGGGCACTCATGTGAGGTGGGCTCAGTGGCATTTATATGATGGGGTAAAATAAGGAACAGCTGGGCAAGGGACTACAATACTGCGGTAATTGTTAAGAGAGAGAAACAGCATCGAATCTTTAAGAAGTCTTTTTAAATATGGTTTAGACTAATAAAGGGCACAGCTACAAGATTTAAAATGAGCTCTCCTCTCTAGAGGAGGCCTCAGTATCTACTTACCCGTGCACAGTGAGCATGACTTCATACCTCAGAGGTACCACCAAAGTCACTTTGTTATGCTTCAGATGGTCCATCTCCCCTTCGTTTTTGCTACAGAAACAAACAGAAAATGCCCTGTTAGAATGCATCCGGCACAAACGCCATCTTCAGTGAGAACTAGTTATATACCACAGATACCTTATAAACTTGGAGGTGGGTTTAAATAATGCGTTTTGGGGAGTGGGGATAAAAGTGGATGTGACAGACATTTTTATGACTGGGTTGGCAGAAATTTGCTTTCATTATTCACACTGTTTTATTCCTCCTATCCTGGTTAAAGGTTTGTGTCTTAGATCACGTAAGGGAAGTTTTCTCCTGCAGACAATGGTTTCCCGAAGGTCCCCTCCCCAAAATGTCAGGGGTCTGTTTCCTTCCGCACTATCATTTCTCACAGTGAGACCCACCAGGCGGCGTGCACTGTGATGTTGAGATCCTCTTCTGCTCTGCTCAGGGAGCTTGCATCCAGCAGGAAGCTCACGTCTACCTGCACACAGAGAAGGAAAGCGCATTTAAAGAACAATCTCATACATATTGATCATCTGAACTTGAATGTTTCTTAATAGTTTATACCCTGTGGGATGCCCAGCTGTCTAAACGATGTTCTAGAAACACAGGCTACCCCCCATTTGGACAGCGAGCTACAGGGAAGCTGTTGGGGTTTGTGGCGACTTGAAAGCACCAGCATTTCCACAAGTGATATTCAGAGACAAAGCCCTATCCGAATGTAAAGACGGGCAGGTCCAGACGGACAGAATCAGAGATGCTTTAACAACTTGAGAGGGGACTCTTGCCAGAAACACCTCTCTGTATAGCAGAGGTAACATGCCTGGCAGATAGGACCACCTGGGGCGTGGCGGGGGGAGTGTTGGGGAGGAGTGACACGGGAGCAGGATTCTGATCGACACATTCACGTGCTCCCCACCTTTTACAGTGAACATTGCCAAGACTATAAACACAATCTCAAAGGTCTCAAGCCCAGTTTGTTTTGGTTTTATCACTTAGCTATTTACCCTAAGCAAATAATAATAAATTATATATTTGTATGCATCATAAACATGAAAAAAATAGAAAAATTTTTGTATTAAAAATTATAAATGCTAAATGCTTACCCTTGAGAGATGATCTACAAATATATAACCAACATTACAGTCAATTTTTACTATGCCAGAGCTGTCCGTTACGTCACAGTTTATTTGCTTCTCTTCCTAAATAAACAAACAAAATCAGTTGGTTTAGGTAGAAAAGGGAACAAGAAGTTTGTAACCCATGTTTAAGGATGGCTTTTGAAAAAACATCCCCAAAGAATTTACTTTCCTAGACAACTATATTTGGAATAAACAGAAATGTAATCAAATGATATAATATGTACATATGTGTCTAGGTTAATTCTATCATTCATGTAAATTCTCCACAGAATAATTTCTGGACTTGAGACTTTCATCCAGGTTTGTGTATCCCTATTTAATTCAAGGCCCAGTCCCTTGTAAAATCACAAGGCAAGGAATCATAAGGTCTGTGTTTCACATCCCTCTTCTGTGTGGGATGTGAGAACATGTTAAAGGTATATAATGCAATACCTGGAATCATCGTAGTATAAATACACACACATATCCCAATATTCCAGGGAGATATACATCTCTGTATGTATTTGTACAGATATGTATTTCCCTGAATATTTGAGTTTTCCCTCTTACAGGTGCAAACAAGCTCTTAACGCCTTAGGGAGATGGGGAATAGATTTTTTGTGAGAGGTCAAAGGCCTCTTAAAATGCCCTTAATGTGAGGAAATGGTCTCTGGATAAGATCTGAGTAAGTTTGCTAAGGAAGAGGGAAGCATCAAAGGAGAAAGAAGTTGAGGTTTTTGTCTTTGAAATTCAACCTTATTAATACTCACTAGTGGATTTAAATGCTCACAACTGAGGCATGGAGGTAAGAAAAGATCTCCAGGTGCTTTGAACCCTTTCAGGGAAGGAAAAACTTGCCTAAAATCTGGTCAACACCAGAATTTTGGATTTGCGGCATGTTTAGAGGTCCTTTGGGAACAAGACTGGGTGTATGAGCTTCAAATGCAGAGGGGTGACTGGGAGTCCAGCAGGGAGGACCAACATTGCTTGTGCAGGAATCCAACCAAGAGCAGCAGCATCAAGCACCAGGAAGATGGACTAGTGAGAAAAGCAATGGCTTGGATAAGTAGGCCATTGTTTCTGGGAAGCAGGAGGCTGACTTTTTTGATCTCGGATTCCAAGGAACTTGTCATTTAGATCAGGGGCATGAGAAAGTCTTAAAATTACTGGAAGCCAAAGGGGATGTCTAAAGAAATGCCAGAGATTTAGACCTCAAATTGATGAAGTGATTTATACCATTTACATCTTTGAAAAACTAAGCAAAATATCATGGAGTATCATGCTACTGTGGTTTTCAATACTTACCAGATCTAAAATCTTAACGAGGTAAAGACCAGTGGGTAGTTTGATATGCAGAGTTGTTTCATATGCATCATCTCCAGCATTAAACAAGGACACATTCAACATTAATGTCTTCATACTTCCAACAGTGAGATGGGTTTTATTTTCGTATGGCCTAAAAATTAAGTACTATTATTTAGTTCTAATTTGGAAATAAAAATCCCATCTCTTCATTTATTTATCCCAAACATAAAATACTAATTTGAAAAAAACAATCAGAGGGAAATGATTACATGCAAGTAGCTGCAAATCTATTTTTAAAAGAACTCAATTTCCCTTAGTTCAAATAAATTTGGTCATGTATCACTGGAGAAAAGTTTCTTAACTAGTTATAATTAAACTAGTCTGCTTTCTGTTATACTTTTTTTTTTTTGCCTTCATTGGCTGTTTCTTTTTTTTAAAATAAATCTTTATTGTTGAAAGTATTACATATGTCCCCCTTCTGTCTTGCCCACTCCCCCCCATTGACCTCCTCCAGCCCAGCCTGCCCCAGGCCTTCCTGATCCTATTGTCTGTGTCCATGGGTTATGCATATATGCATACAAAGTCTTTGGTTGATTACCTCCCACCCACCCACCTCCCCTGTCTTCCCTCTGAGCTTCCTCACTCATTAATACTTCATTTCTGCTTAACTTCTTGGTTCTATACTTTTAACACATTTTCCTCATTATTGTGCAACATATTTCTAAAAGCAAAGTATGTTTTTCCTATCTTTCTTTATTCTTGAATAGACATATTGAATTAGCTGCTGCCCAAACCAAAGGGGGGGATGGAGGTAACTGGAAGAAAAGGAGAACAGAGAGTATTGCCACCAAAATACAACATGTTTTGGTGGGAGTGAGCACGGCATGAGAAAGGACGGCTGTTCTCAGCACGTGAATCCAACTGAGATCTGTAGAGTAGAATCCATTTCATAAGACAGGCTGGTCACCTCTGTGGATAATGAGACCAAATTAACAGACGTGTAGAAGTGCTTCACTGTGCTGTGAACTGGAAAGAGAAGATTGCCCCAAATCTAGACACGTGAGCGAGATCAATTTCTGGCTCTGGCCCCCGTTCTTCTGGAGGAGGGGTGGTGTAATTAACATTTTTAAGCTTCAATCACGTCACCTGTAATAATAACTAGTATTGATTGAAAATGTGGTCCATGGAATCCTCAGAGCAACACATTTATAGATGAGGAACTGGAGGCTTAAAGAACTTATTCAAAGTCTCTCATAGCTAAAAAGTTTCAAAGCAAATGCAAATCTCTTCGCTTACACAGCCCATTCTCTTTACCAATGAGAGACTGAGAAGAGCTGAATGCTAAAGAAGACGTTTGCTACACTATGATTCTATAAGCTTTCCTTAAAGACAGATGTTCCTAGATATCCAAGAATTTAGAAGTAGTAGTTCAACCAGGGAAGGGTGTGACCCAAAGCAAGAGACCAGATGACAATAATCATAACTACACAAAAGGTAAAACATTCACTTAGCACTTTAAAGTTTAGAAAGTTTCCTTAAGAAAGTAAGCATCTTCTATGCAACATTCATGTGACCTGTACCCTGCACTCACAACTACTCAATTGACCAAGAAATTAATGGCAGCATCAATACTAAAGTGTAAAGTTTTGAGGAGTTAATTATTAATTCCCATGAACTTCAGAATGAAAACAAAATTGTAATTTGGGGCACATTTCTCCACTTTTATACCTTTACTATAACTCTAAGAAATGGAACCGTTTACTTAATACCTACTAGTAAAAGGTCTTCCCCTCTTATCTTGATTTTTTCCTGTTTTAAACTTATCAAAGTAGAACATACACATAGCAAAATGCACATATTCCAGGTTGCAGCCCAATTAATTTTTACAGACTAAATACAGACATGAAACCAGCACACAGACCAAGAGAAAGGTATTACCAGTCCCATCAGATATAAGCACTTCCCTCCAGTTACTTCCCCCACCTACTGCCTTGTTTTACCAGTGCAGACTGGCTTTGCCCACTTTTATATGTCACATCAGTGAATTCATAAAGTATGTAATTTTTCTTCACTCAAAATTTAAATAATCAGGCCTTCTTTACTTAAAAGTTTGTAAAATTAATCTACATTGACTTGTGAATTGTTTATTCTCATTGATTATATATATGTATATATATATATATATATCCTATCTAATAAAAGAAAACGGGTAATTGACCATACCTTCGCTATGCTTCCCATTGGCTAATCAGGGCAATATGTAAATTAACTGCCAACAAAGATGGCAGTTAATTTGCATATGTAGGCGCCAAGCAATGGAGAGAAGCTGGCTGGCCCCAGGCAGGAGCAGCAAGCGAAGGCCGGCATGGCGAGTGAAGAGCAAAGAGGGAAGCGAAGGCCAGCATGGCGAGTGAAGAGCAAAGAGGGAAGCGAAGGCCGGCATGGCGAGTGAAGAGCAAAGAGGGAAGCCCCCAACGCTGGCCTCTGCCACGCCCCCGGGGCCCAAGCGGGGCATTGGAAGAGATAAGCCCCTCCCGGCAAAGAGTGAAGGCCTGGGTTCCGGGCGCCGGAGGAAAACTGGTGCCAGCAGCCAGGGGAAGGGGCCCCCGAAGGGCCCCAGACTGCAAGAGGGCACAGGCCGGGCTGAGGGACCCACCCGAGTGCACAACTTTTGTGCACCGGGCCTCTGTTATATATACATTCCATTTTGTAAATATACAACGTTTTACTTATCCATTCACATTGTATTTATCCAGTCAACTACCTGGCAATTTCTAGTTTGGCTCGATTACAGTCTCTTGGTGAACATATCTATGTAATTCTGTTGGGTCTCTCTAAGAGCAGACCCTTATGGTTTGTAAACCAGAATTAATTCCTTAAAATGCTACATCTTGGCTTATTTTAGCAACCAGCTTAAATTATACTAACTGTGTTTAAATAACAAAATATACCATAAGGAACTATATTTAAGTAACCAAAAATAAAGACACACTACAGAACTCTCATATAAAAAGCAAGCATACTATAGAGCAGGGGTTCAGAAACTGCTGCCAGAAGGCCCAGTTCAGACCTCTGCCTGGTTCTGTAAATAGCGGCTCCGTGGAACACAGCCACGCTCGTTCATCTGTGGCCGCTTTTACACGACGGATGCCAGCAGAGTTGAGTAGCTGAGCGAGATCTCCGTCCCACAAAGCCTAAAACAGTCACTATCTGTCCCTTTACGGAAAAAGTGTGCCAGCTTCTGCCATAGAGCAGTCTGATGGTTAAGTGTAATTAATAAGCATCCAAAATAATATCACTGTGCTTAAAATCTATTCTGTGTTATTCTGACAACCATAGAGGCTCACTTCCAACAGCCTGGGATACAGAATTAGCGAAAATGCCTCTCTAGGCCTCACAGTTCCTTGGCTGGTCCTGGAGGCATCGAGGAGAAAGGAACGAGGAAGGTGCCCTCATGCAGCCTCTCCAGCTCCTGAACCCCTGGGTCCGAGAAGCTGGACATTTCGGGAAGGATGTGCAATGACTAACAAAGCCGTCATTCTAAACCCTTTCAGGGTGGAACAATCTGACTCCGTGATGGCGTGTTTTAGAGAAGGGCGGTGATTCACCCGGTCCTGTGTGGTAAACTGTGTTACATAAGCGCGCATCTGCTTGGTGGCACCGTGCTAACCGGCAGGGAAGAAATGCGCAGGAACGTGGCCGCCCTGCATTCCCCCCACTGTTCTCTAATCACGTTACAACGGAAGGAGCCTAGCAGGTTCTAAAAGTGAACTTCAGCTTGACATTCAAGTTTAATTAAGACTTGAAGAAGAGCTGCCTAGAAATAGACGTTTGTAAAATATTCTGGCACGTAACCAAAGCATTAGTCACTGAACACCTTTGGGAAAGGAGTTGGCACTTCGACAAGCAACAGAAGGTGAAAGCCTTGCATAAACAGCCAGGTTCCCAGACAACAGCAAATTAAAGAGAAACACAATGTTCACATTTCAGCAGCCAGACTCCTGGGTTAGTTTCCATTTTTAAGCTATTTTGTCACATAGTCATAATTACGATTCTACTCTTTTTGTTAAAATATACATCATATTGTATCTTGATTCATTAACAAGGTGCCGTCGGAATGATACCCACCAGCTTTGTGTGGGAGACATGACAAAGGACCAGGTGCGCATCTGCAAGCGCGACAAGGCTGCACCAGAGCGCTCTCCAGACATCGGAGTTCATTTTTCATTAGAACACGCATAATGCAGACTTGAAATTTACCAAGCAGCCTAGAATCCATGGAATTTAAACAAATCAAGGTACTGTGTACATGGGGAATCACAACTTAATAAGCGAGAGAGGAAAAATAGAAAAACGATGTATTTTAGCACCAAGCACTATGTTTTTCTTGAGCGAATGACACTGTTTTATTTTGCAAGAAATGCTCCCCAAGTCTTAGTCTAATGAATGTACTTTGCCTAGATAACACACATTAGTGCCTTCCCGGCTAACTTTTTTTAAGATGGTAGGATAAAGTGTAATGTAAGCTGATATGTACCTGTGTCAAGATGCATGAGTCACTTACTTGACAACATGTAGCCTGCTGCAGGTGGCTTGCAGGTCCAAGTAAAGACAACTATTTTTTAAAATTTTACTACTGACTTCAGGGGGGAAAATACTAAAAAATTCTTGTTTACTGGAATATATCAGTTACCCAACATTTAAGAAGATTTTATTGAATAAAGGCAAATTCATTGAAGTCTAGAGGAGTACAGCTGGCTGCACTGGATTAGAAGATTGAACTAGGAAATAGCATGTTTTCGTGTACAAAGCATATAATTCATCTTCCCCAACCTCTGTGAGGCACACGGGTGGATAAAAGTAGGCTTACAGTTGGGAGTACATGAAACACAGAGCTAATAAAGCTATTGTAACAGTCATATCCTGCATGCCTTTTTCTATACGAACAACTGTAGACCTACTTTTGCCCACCCTGTATATTCCTACTCTCTCCATTTCAAAAATGGACACGTTTGTTAGACTAGCTATTTCAGGGGCTAACAGCATCATGGCTGATGTTGACAACTGTCTGCTGTCTAGCCAACAGCTTGCCCTATTTAGCGGTTAACAGGCCCAGCATTGGGCAGCATTCCCTCGATACTGCAGACGACAAGCCCCTCGTTCACCTTCAGGGAATGAATTATGATCGCACTAATCTGATCACAATGACTCCATTCTCCTCCAGCCACGACGGGCCCAGGGTTGAGTATGTGATACAGGTCTGGCTGATCAGACTAAGTCGGCTCAGGCACTGCCCTTCCTGGACAGGCAGCCTCACGAAGACACAGAATTTTGCTCTTGTCCCTTTTTTTCTTGCTGGGAGCCTGGGTGCTGCTGCAGCCATCTAGTGACCGCGAGGGAAAAGCCAAGAGAACTGGGAAGATAACCAGGAATGCTCAGGTTTTGGTAGGTGCTCACTAACCCTGCTACAATAATTAAATGCCTTTATTTAAAAGCCCCTATGGCTCAAGTATTCTGTTCCTTGCAGTTAAAGGCATTCCTAAAGGATGGGAAAGCCATTGTTTCACTCGTGCGGGAAGCGTGACTGAGGAACAAAAGAGAACTAGCATTTACGTCAGAATCTATGTGCAGGACTTGATTTCAAACTGCCTCTGTGATGACTAACACCGGCTGTTATATTTGTAATTGTGATAGTCATATTTGTTCATCTTCGTTTTGCAGTAAGTCCACTTGAATATGATTTATTCTCCTGAGAGTTTAGTCAGTCAGGAGGAAGCCTCAACTTAATGAAAACACTAAGCACTGTTTAGTTTGCTGTTGGCAGTCTATTACTGCAGCCTTCAGCCACGCACGTACTTTACCGAGTAAATGCGTTTACCTAAAGCGGGTGTGTAGCTCTGGGGCACATAAATACCGTTAGTGCCAGCAGAGTTATGGGCAGGAGAATGCATAGAACATATGGTCACAATTTGCCTAGTATTACAGAGAAGGGAGAGGGAACACCTAAGTGAGACAGGCATCCATTTGTCTGATAGAGTATAATTTACTAAAGATGCAAAGCAGTTTGTCAGAATCTTTTACCGTAGGCCTAAAAAAATTGATTAGAAGAATTTCCATAAGAGAATTTCTTAAATAAGTTATCATTTCCCAAGTAGAAATCACCTGGAACTCTCCTAATTGATGCAAATGATGCAGGGCTTATAGTTCACACCGGCAATCCTGCCACTTCAAATCTCATAAAACTGAAAACTACTGACCCAGTCATAGTCGACAGCATTTTGGGGACATAAGAGACAAACTCTGGACAAATAACTAGTATATATATATACAGAAAATGTTTAGACTTCAATGGCAACATTCCATTTTATGGCCAAACTAAAACTTTATTATAATCTATAAGTATTCTAACCGTAATTTATCAAAAATAACTTTTATGAAAGCTTCATGCATAGCAGGTTTTGTGCTATGCACTTGGGCCTGCATTTCTGCATTATTTATCTTTAAAACACCTTTCACAGAGTAGGGACTATTTTACCTCCTTATCAAGAAAGAAAGAGGTTTATAGAGTTTAAAAGGCTTCTCTACAGCTAGCAGAGGGTAGATACAGAACCTGAACCAGGTTTGATTTCAAACCTGAAACGCTCCATCACTACCACATTGGTTCTCAGATCTTAGTATACTAAGAAACCCTTGGAGCCCCTTTAATAAACAACATTTCTGGCCTGGTCCCATAGCTTCTAATTTGGATAGTCTGGGGGTCTAGGAAACCTGCATTTCTAAGTGATTCTTGTAAAAGTGACTCAAAGGCCACAGCTTGAGGAACATGGCTGTACCCTCAGTTGCCTGCCATTTAAAATTATAATGGACTCAATATTTAGATGTTAAGAAATAGTATCATTTCAAATTAATGATGCAAACCATAATATAATAGCTTATTG